TATAACTGCAGAACACAGATAAATAAAAGATCTTAAAAACAGATGGGGGAGACAGACTATTGATTAGATCTAGAGGTGACTTTCCAAGAGCAACAAAAGAAGACAGAAAACAATAAACTATCTTCAGAGTGCTAAGAGGAAACGACTGCTAGCTGACACTGTATACCTTGCCTCAATTGCTGAACAAGAATGATGATGAAATGTGGACATTTTCAAATGAACAAAATCTAAGAGCCTTTAAGCCTAACAAGTTCTCACTGAAGCACATTTAAAAGATAAATAGCAGGAAGAAAGAAATTGAATTCAGAGGAAAAAATGAAGTTCCAGAGGATTTATGTTCAAAGAAAGCATTAAATGTGTTCAAGCCTCAATAAAATGACTGACTGTGTTAAACAATACTATTTATAATGACTAATTTGGGAAGTTAAAAAATATGTAGCCATAATGCCAGACAAAAATAACTTGTATGATAGGAAGGGTTTGGAGTGACGATATTCTCAAATTCTTGTATTGTTTAGGAGACTATGTAGACTTTCATAGTGATTAACTTTGGCTTTGTTAACAGAGCTATGTTTAAAACAATCAAGGGTCACTACTAAAAGGGCAGAAACAGAATTTGTAATTTCCTTTGGAAAAAAAAGGAAGTTATAAACTTGATATATCAGAAAGAAAACTAAAAATAAATTTGGCAAATGGAGGACAGGAAGATGCTCATAACAAGTCCAAATACCAGTAATCAAAATTAAAGAAAATGATCTGAACACGCTAGTAAAGGCATGTTGAGAATAGATTGAAGAAAATATTTAATAAAAATTCAACAACGTAGGAAATTTTTAAAACAAAGAATAATGTTACATTAAACATTAAAAATGGACAACTATAAAACAAAATAATTTGTAGGGTCACTGATGATTTGTTACCTAAGGGACATGTCTGAAAGTGAGAGAGGTCACTGTTAATTTTTCAGCAGAATAAGCATAAAGCAGGACTGTCCTTGGAAAGTAGAAAGCCTTGGGAGTAAGTAGCATCATTTAGTGATACAAGAAAATATAATTCATGGGCAATCTCAAAACATTCTAGCTGAGTCTGAACTCATTTTCTTAGCTTAAAAATACATTTTAAAAAATTGACAAAACTATAAGAAGATATTACAGAATATTAACAAATCTACAAAGATAATAGTATGAGAAATTTTAACAGAGGTTAGAAACTGATGGATCACTCAGACAAAAATTAGTAAAACTATCAAAGATTTTAACTAACAAGAGAACTAAAATGTTTTATCTCAATGCGACTGTGGTTGATTAAGGATGGCTGCAGTTCTTTGACATTATCCACATTAGGAGGGCATCTTTTTCCTTCTCCCTGATTGCTTGGATCAACCAAGTGTGGTGTAATTGACACAATACTCCTTTAGAGACTAGTCAACAAGAACTGATAGCTTTCATTTTGATTTCTTAATGACCTTACATGTCATGTAAGAAGTTCAACTAGCTGCTGGGTGCGGTGGGGCACACTTGTAATCCCAGTGGCTTAGAAGGCTGAGGCAGGAAGATTGTGAGTTTAAAGCCAGCCTCAGTAAAAGCAAGGCACTAAGCAACTCAATTTATTTTAAATAAAATACAAAATAAGACTGGGGATGTGGCTCAGTGGTCAAGTGACCCTGAATTCAATTCCCCAGTACCAAAAAAAAAAAAACAAAAACCACCAAGTCCAACTACCTTAAGACCACTGTGCTTTAAAAGAATCCAAGTTAGCCACATGGAGAGGCTGTGCAAAGAAAAAATCGAGATGTCCAAACAGTTCTTAGGTGTTTGGAGCCCCCAGTCATTTGAGTCATTCTCAATGAGGCCCTGGATGTCAAATATCAACCCCTGCTATTCTTTGAATAAATTTCTGACCCACAAAGTTGTAAGATATACTAACAAATTGTTGTGTTACATGTCTAAGCATTTTCTTGCCATAATAAAATGTACATAACAGAACATTTAACATTTTAACCATTTTAAGCATATAGTTCAGTGACATTAAGTACATTAAGTTGCTGTCAAACCATTGTGACAATCTATTTCTGGAAAAGTTTTATCTTCCCAGGAAGGAGCACTAAGTTTTAGGAAAGATTTTAGAAAAAAAAAATTTAAAAATATAAAAAATATAACAGAATATTTTTGTGCTTTCAGAGTTTAGAAAGGTCTTTTTGAGAAACAGGAATTGAAATCTTTAAGAAAAAGTTTTATGAATCAATTAGACCATATTAACATTTAAAACATCTGTGCATCTAAAGATATCATTTCTTAAAAATCGAGAGAAGTCACTAATAAAGAAAATATTTGCAATGCATACGGCCAATAAAAATTTAGTGTAGAGTGAGTATACATATACATTAAACTTCTACAAATCAATACAATCAAATAACAACAGACATGACTGAGTACACAATAGGAAACATGAAAAATGTTCAATCTCACCAGTAGTTAAAAAAAAAGTACATCAAAATAAAAATGGATGCTATCTCAGACTCATAAAATTAGTAAAAACGTAGTTTGATGATACCAAGATTTGGAAAGATTAGCAATGGGAGCTTTGATATATTTGTGATAGTGTAGAGTTGTCATCTGATATATTTGTGATAAATTTCATGTGTGCACAAAGACATCACGCAGATACACAAAGTAATATCACCAGTAATATTACTTTGATATTAAAAAAATCACCAGTAATATTAATAAAACATTGGAAAAAATCTAAATATTCATCAACATAACAATGGAAAAGTGAATTTTAATATATTCATACACAAGAACAAAAGATAAATCCTAAATGTAATATGAAATCCTGCACTAGATTGGAATAGGGATAAGTTGGGAGAATGTTCTACTCTCTCTGCATTTTGCAACTTTTCTGTAAATATAAAATCATTCCGAAATAAAAAGTTAATTTTATTTTTAGAAAGAATAAATAGAGCTATTTGTATCATAATGGATAAATCTTACAAACAGAATCTGAGAAAAGAGCAAATTGCAGAAGACACATGTAGCATGTGTATTATTCAGTTTTCCCTCACTCTAACAAAATACCCAAGAAAATTAACTTGTAAAGAGAAAACGTTTCTTTTGGCTCATAATCATTGAAGTCCTAGTCCATGGTCACATGGACCCATTGCTTTTAGATCTATGGTGTGGGTGTCAGATGGTAATGGTGGGGAGCAAGTGGAGGAGCAAACTACTCACCCTATGGCCAGGGACTAAAAGAAGCAGAGGAAGAAGCCAGGATCCCACAATCCCCTTCAAGGCACAAACAAAATGACATAAAGGTCTCCTACTTACCCCACCTCCTAAATATCCACAGCATACCCCAAAAGGGACTCCCTGAGGACCAAGCCTTTATAACACGAGGACCTTTGGGGGACTCTCAATATCCAAATGACAGCAGTCTGTAACCAACAATATAAATTTAGAAGCATTCAATATACTGTGTCTTAATCAATGATACATACATAGGTTGATTTCAAATATATACATGTGAATGATGAATACAAAATTCTGAATATTAATGATGTCTTGAAGGTGAGGGGACTTTCATATGATAGGATGTGTTACCAACCGAACTTAAATTGTGTTTGCAATGTTTAATTTCTCCAGTTGGGTGATGCAACATATGCAGATGTGGTTATAATATATATTGTGGTTATTATATATAATAAAATATTAGATAATTTTTAAAAATCAGTGTATCTAAAAAGAAGGAAGGAAAGGAGGAAAAGAGGAAGAGGAAAGCAGTACTAAAATGTAAAATCATCATCTTGTTCACCTTGAGCATATGCAATTTTTATTTACCAAATATATCTCAATAAAGCTGGGAAAAAAATTTAATAAGCCTAATTTTTGACAGTAGTGACAAACAAAAGGAAGCACAAATAGAAAAGAGTAATATTGACTTCTTATGGTTTCTGTGTAAATAATCTAATACAGACAAAATGTCTTAAAAATAATTCTTATTTCTCTTGTGATATGAGATGTTTTTACTATACATAAATAAATAAATTAGTGGGATGACCCTATAGGGAGGTGAGGTGGTCAGGAGAGTGAGCCGATGATAGGGACATTCTTCTCACTCACACACACTGCCATGTCAGACAGAACACTGGCATTAATGTGCTTTCATTCCTTATGACTGAACACGCTCTTTTGAGTGTTATCCTTAAAAGCATCTATTTCTACATTTAGATGTTCCTTATGGTGGAAGAACAGCAACAACAAACAGATTATTCTGCAAAACACTATGATTCCTTATGGAAATTTTGGAATACTCTGATTTATTTTATTTTCAATTCGTTCTTCATTTTGTCGGCGCCAGTACTGAGGCTCCACCTAGGGTCCTTTTCTGTAATTACATACATATTCATTACAGCCCAATGATAGCAATATGTAAAGCAGTTATGCAAATAAGAGAGAGTGGTTGAGGTCCCCCCACCCCGGTCACACACCCCCGTGGGCATGGGTCTAACACATAAAAATTAGATTTGGTCACTCCCAGGAACTGAACGCTAAGGCAGCGAGTCATGATGGGTTGCTCGCCAGGCAAGGATGTGGTTAACTTCTTATCGCTGGTCTTGGAACACTGCCCTCCAGGAATGCAGCCAGGTAACCTTTGAAACAGGTGGTCCCAGATCAGGGAGGGGTAGTACCGTGGAGAAACAATGACTCCCTTGTGCATCACTAGGACCTGCTGGCAAGGAAAGGCGGGAGAGGCTTACATCAGCTGGAGGCAGAGAAAGATCAGAGAGCAGCCCCAAAGAATTTGGTATAGAAGTTGCAGCGCTTCATTTAAGATCTCGATTGTGTTTTAAATCTCCGTCCATTAGGTTTCCAACCTTTTCCTTCTCGTCCAGTGGACGATTCAACATTGAATGATGCCGAATGATTTGAGCTAGCACCCCAGAGTGTTTTGACTCACACCTGCCATCTGTCTGCTTAGTCACCGTGCAACCCTCCTTCCCCTAAGTGATGATTTTTATTTGATATAGGAATTGGCAGGCAACAGTTGTTGTGTTAGGAGATTGCTGGATTCCCAGTTTTCTTTATTCTTGTGATGATAGCAGCATGGCGCATTAATGTTTCAGATATTCACTTGGCTTTTTCTTGGAACTACCATATGTTCCTAAAGATATTTAGTGTGTGGGGAGTTGTAAAAAAAAAAAGGGAGAGGGAAAGGGATTTTTTAAAACAAATGTTATTCTAAAATCGTAGCCACATAGACCAACACTACTCAACATAAATCAAAGTGGAAATCTCCCAATTTATTCCCAAAACCATTCTGCAAAAACTATTCTGACTTTCTGCATGGTAGTCTTACTCTGTGAAATTTGGGTGTAA